GTGAAGGCTCATGAAATGATTATATTGGATTCCGATTAATTCTAGAGGATATACAAAATTGAATTTAAGCATAAATTAAGTTGTGCAAGAAAATTTACAAAATTGGAAAACCTAAATTGAATTTTGATCTCAAAGAATATATATTTAAATAAAATTGAATTAATTTTAAAATATTTGTGCATCATTTTTTTATAGATAATTTTACTTTTTAATTATAAAATTAAATAACTTACTTTTTTTACTTCTTAAAAGACTTGTAATTACTATCATCATTAATATCGTATAATCTGCTATTGTTATTATTGACTAATATGGTCGAGGCACTTCGTGCCTCTATTAAAGATAAAATAAAATAAAAATTAAGTAATAAATATAAGTTAATCTAATGTTATAATTAGTCAACTAATTTTAAGGTCTTGATTTTGAGAAAAATATTATTTTTTTTAATTTTTTAAAATGAAAGAGTATAATGGTCAACAAAACGTGGTAACCAAGGTGATTACTAAAAAAGTAACCTTTTATATATTTGTTATTAATATGATAAATATTCTTTTAGATATCAATATTCTAATTATTATATTATTATTATTATTTTCGTTATTCTTTGAGTCACTATTATTGTCAATTTTTTTCCATCTCTTGCTTGACCATTGTATTACTTGACTAGTTTTTGAGTAAACGAATTGTAAATAATTTTACTTCGAGATATATGTAAATGATAAAAAAATGTAAATAATTAAATGGGGAGCGATTCATGTAGTTTGACTTTATATGTTGATATTAAGGTGTCAATAGTTAATTTGATTAATAATAAAATGTATATTTAATTTCATAATAATTGTTATTATAATTTCCGTATTGAATTGAGAATTTAGTAAAGAGAAATATTCAAACTGAAATTAAGAGGTCTTAATTATAGAGACCTGAAAGAGTATTATTGTTGATGTCAATCACTCAATCGTATTATTTGTTGACGTTAGTCACACAACAATAAAATTAATGAAGAATTATTCACTCTTAATTAAATTAAAAGCCAATCAAGTCAAAAGAATTGAGCTAGCTTAACTCTGAAAGAAACGGTCTTATTTATGTGTCTTTCTCACACGTACGTGAATACTGAATAATATATTGGCTAGAGGATTCTACTGTAAGCTGTGAAATTGAAGTGTGAAATGCTCTCTAGATATATGAAATATGTACGTCGTCCCACCGTCAGCAAGGGTTTTACATTAGATCGTGTATCATTTGTTTTTAATATATGCTATACTTTTATCAATATATGTTAATTTGATTTATGTAATGAAGTACCAATATAATAGTTAAAAACTTTGCAAAAAAAATTGTAGGTTTTATCTATTCGATAAGATTTTTTATTTAATAATTATATAGTTGAAATTTATATATATTATAAAGTATTAAGTAGAATATTTATACTAAAAATTACTTTTCAAATAAGTTGCATCCCATATCAAATGAAAAAGAAATCATTGTGTTGAAAGAATATATAACTATAATAGAAAACTATTAGATTTTACTTGATTGGTCAAGTATAATAAATGTATATAAATTAAAAGATAAAAAAAAATACTACACACGGTATAATTTTTATATTAATTTACTTGCAAATCAATTATGATATGTACAATTTTGTCTGAGCATGTTTGAGAAAATTATGAAAATTAAATTATTTTAATAATTAATTATTATTATAATTAATTATAATTATAATAAAATATTATTTGTGTAAATTTGTTGAAAAATAATTTTAAAATGTTTAATTTAGTTTATATATAACTAAAAAGATAAATTTTTATGTAGTAAAACATCTTAAAATAAAAGAAAACTGTTAAAAAAACAATTATAAATTTCAAAGTTTCAGCTTTTCAAAATAAATTTTATATATAAAAAAACATTTTATAAATATAAGTTATTGTCTCAATTACACAACTTGCTTTACAAAAGAAAAAAAAAAGTCTAAAAAAAATTAAAAATGATAGGTTTATCTTTTCCAAATATCTTTAGTATTTATCGTTAGATTCACTTTTAGTTTACACATATATTTATCACACTCTAAAAAAAATTGCTAATAAACACATGTATTTATTAATAATATACATCACAAACACTCTCCATTAAAGATGTTTTAAGGATTTTGTATATCTCTTAAGAAACATTTAATACTAGTATATTAAGTTTAAAGTTCATTCATTTAATATCTAGAAATATGTAAAATAAAAATAATTATAACTATGGAATAGAAATATTAATTGTTAAATAAAAATATACATAAAAGAATTAATTAATATTACTTGAATCACGTAAAACAAACAAAATTTAAAAATAAAAAGTAAAACATTAAATATTACAGTCCGAAGGAAGTGCAAGATATAATAAGTAAATTTATGATATATATTATAATTTAAATTAAAGGTTAAAATGTATTTTTTATACATTTTTACTTCGCACACATTCTTATGAACACACATGATACAAACATACAACATCAAAATTTAGAAGATAAAATAAAGAGATAAACCCAAATAACGTTTCAAGCTGGATGTGGTTACATCTAAATTCCTTGTCCAATTATCATAAATTTTTCTTGAACGAACTGGACTACAATATTTTTGATTGGGCAGGAACTCAATGTCCAATTTAAGATGTAGCGGATTTCAACCGAACCTATTCACTTGTCATCGTGGATCTAGGATAGTGGACCTGTTTATTTGGGCAGGAACTTAATTCTCTTGGTTTTTCTCTCTTCTTCTGTATTTTTCCCATTAAAATTAGTTCTAGAAGCTCATATATGCTTTATGAATGTAATAAATAATAATCAATCCTCATACTAAAATAATAAAAGTTTCATTTCAATATCAAATTATTTCATCTCAAAACTTGAATTTCAGCTTCAGAAATACTCTAAATGATGAAATCCATTTGTATTGATCGAATTTATTGAATATTACATATTTTTGTGATCTCATTTTTTATTTAATAAATCTATTTTAATTTAATAAATTTTAACTTTTGACAATTAACAAAATATATAGTAGAAGGAGTATAATGTTAAATATATTAATGATTTTGTCATCTGGTTCATTCAATTCTCATCTTATAAACAAAAATATAATTCGCCTTATATTTATGGGATATTCAACATGACCCTATGGCCCAATCATTGTATTATTGCAAGACTAAGATAATTTGATCATAATGAATATGACAATTGTAATGGCTTTTTTTTTTTCAACTCCTTCAAAACCGCGTCAATTTAAGTCATGACTTGGTCACCTTTTTTATGATATCAGTCGTTTTTTTTTTTTATGATTGTTGTTGTTCTTATATTTCATTTTTTATTTTAATAATTGTTGTTATATTTGTTTAACGTATATGAAAGACGACACAATTTTGAAAGATATTGGTTGCGATTGCAAGTATTTGTGTTCCACTTTAAAGTATTTGCATCGTCCAACTACTTATATAATTGTGTTATGTGGTGAGTGACTACTAATGGACTTCTAGTTTTAAATCTACTAAGGTTTTTATTAGTTAATCGTGCTTTATAAATATGAATATTTTAAAATTGTCTTCATCTTTTTTCCATTTCATACGGATTTAAAATGTAATGGAGTAACAATTGCTTGTGACTTGCGGACTTGATGGTGATACCAAAAATTCGGTTGGTTTGTTTAATTTTTTTTTCAAACTATTTTTAATAAAATAAACAAGTTTTTTTTATTTTTTTATTTTATGTATTTGTCTAAATTTATTTATTTTTTAAAAAGAAACAACAACTCCTGTTTATTTTTTTTACAAATCTTCAATTATTTTATTTTAAAAAAATAAGAGTTCACTCAATATCATTATATGACAATGTCATTGTGAGTCAAGTGATATATAAGCAAGGATTATAGCAAAATAGAATGAGTACGAGTTTCATTATCCTTCTACTCGTTATTATTACCTTACATTATACTTTATTTCCATATCTGATAGGTATGAATGAGATTTATGTCTTCGTTTATGTTTCTATTGAATATCAAATATATCCATACTTGTTTTCAAAAAATTTATTTTTTTAAAAATTATTAAAAAATAAATATAAAATAACAATTACAATATCATATTAATTAAAATTTTTTTATATAAATTTAAAATAGAGTAAGAATTATATAAGTTTTAAATAAATTAAATTTTAAAAAATCTAAAGTAAACATATGTATATCCACCACCATTCTTTACCTTATTTAATAAATTAATTATTATTTATATCCGTATATGACGAAATCAAATATTCCTTATTCAAATCAAAATGATTTAAATTATTACCAACCAATACAAATATACTTCCCATTCCATCATGTAAAAGGAAGACTGGACTCTTTGGCTACAAGTCCAAAATCACAAAATCAGAAATGTTGCTCCAAATCCAGACGGTGTCAAAACTGAACCCCCAATTCGTATTATGGTATGTTTAGTGATGCTAACTTTATTATTCTATTTTATTAGAACCAGTCCTAGAGGTGAAGTTAGAATAACTTACACGTAGTCTTAAATTTGAGTTCCGTATTGTATTTTTTATTGGTAAAAAATCTTATCTTTTATTCTCTTCAAAATGTTAAATGTTGGGCTTTCACTTAATTTTATCGATGCTGTTAGTATTGATTTAGATCCAAAGATATGTTAAATATTTTAAAAAAATTAGAAGTAAATTGAATGAGATGAATTTAAATAGTAAAGGAAGTTTATTGTTGAGAAAAGGTCGGTGAGACAAAGTTGTAGAGTGGATTCTTTCTTTAATGGATGAAAATTGTGTTAGATTAGGAGGTTGTTTTGAGAAGTAAAAAGTAAAAATGAGACGGTGGGTAATTAATGAAGGAGGGAGGGGTAGAGCAAAAAAAGAAAAAGAGGAAACGGTGAGGTGTGTGAGGCAACGGCAACCTTAAAAGTCGCTGATAAATAAGTTGCAACCTTATAATGTTTTACAAGTACAGGTTGACTTGTTCCCTCGCATCCATAATCAGGAAATAGGAAATAGGAAATAGGAAAATGCCTGCAACAACAGAGAACAACCAGGGATCGTTCCTGGGGAGGATAAGCATCCGCAGAAACCAGGTGATGTCGATGGACGGGACGCACGACCAGGAGCTGGAGGACCTCGAGCTCTTCCAGAAGCACGTGGGGGACCGCTTCTCGGAGCTCCTCTCCTCCAGCGCCGACGCCCCCTCCGCGGAGGCCCTCCTCTCCATCGGCTGGCTCCGCCGCCTCCTCGACGAGTTCCTATGCTGCGAGGCAGAGTTCAAGGCCGTCGTCCTCATGGGCCGAGACCCCTCCCAGCTCGCCAAGCCCCCCCTCGACAAGCTCCTCCCGGACCTCCTCGACCGCGTCGTCAAGTCCCTCGACGTCTGCAATGCCGTCACCCTCGGCCTCGACGCCCTCAAGAACCTCCAGCGCCTCGCCGAGATCGCCGTCGCCGCCCTCGACCACTCCCCCCTCGGGGACGGCCAGGTCCGCCGCGCCAAGAAGGCCCTCACCGCCCTCCTGGCCGCCATGCTCCACGAGGACACCACCGCCAAGGCCACCGAGCGCAACCGCTCCTTCGGCCGCCGCAACACCAACAGCAACAGCAACAGCAACAGCAACAGCGGCAAGGACCGCGGCGCCCGCTCCCTCTCCTGGAGCATGGCCCGCAACTGGTCGGCCTCGAAGCAAATCCACGCCATGCTCTCCAACCTGGCGGCGCCACGTGGCAACGAGTCGTCGGGCCTGGCTCAGCCGGTGTACGTGATGGGGAGCGTTCTGGTGTTCGTGATGTGGGCCCTGGTGGCGGCGGTTCCCTGCCAGGAGAGGAGTGGGCTGGCGACCCACTTCCCGCTGCCTCGGCAGGTGGGGTGGGCCCAGCCCATGGTGTCGGTCCAGGAGAAGATCGCGGAGGAGTGGAAGAAGAAGGAGAAGAAGGGTAGCGTTGGGTTGCTGGAGGAGATGCAACGGATGGAAAAGATTGGGCAGTCCCTCATCGAGTTCGCTGAGTCCTTTCAGTTTCCCGCTGAAACGGAGCGTTTAGAAGAGGTGAAGAAGCAAGTGGAGGAACTCGCCGATATCTGTAGAAAAATGGATCAAGGCTTGGAACCCTTGCAGCAGCAGATTCGGGAAGTCTTTCACAGGGTCGTCAGGAGCAGGACCGAGTTTCTTGTTGTTTTGGACCAAGCTGGCAAATTGTCCACACCCGCTCTCTAGACTCTACACTCTACACTCTACACTCTACACCAACACAATCCATTTCCTTTTTCCCTTTTTTTCCTTTCTTTCTCCCATATAGATCATTCATTCTCCATCTTATTCTTCTTCTTACTTTTCCAATGTACATCCATTCTAGGTGAAACGTGTTTTCAATGCTGGCGATGATCATGCACACATTCACTATTTTACCTTACGAATTGCATAATCAAGTTTATTGCAAAAATTTATCATTCTTCTTGGAATCTCATATTTTGTTTTTTTCTTCTTTTAAACGCGCATAAGATAGGACGAGTCAATAAGTTATACTGGGCTCGATTTGAATGCTTATTTATATCAGCAAGGCGGCAAATTAGACGTGCAAGACATTACCTGACGTCTGTCGATGTTTTCATCATTATCCTTTTTCAAAAATTCTAACTCTCCTCAACTACAAGATTAAACATTATAAATGCTTAAACATCCAACTCTCCTTAGTTGAAACAATCTCGCGTTATTAAACATTTATAAATAAAATTTCAGACGTTTCATAATAAAGCGGAAGTTTTAGATCAACTACTCCTTCCATTTTTTATTCATAGTCATTTGGTCAGAATTTGTCATTTTTTTTTCATTATCATTTTACTAAAATTAATGACTTATTAATTTTTTTTTATCTTTGATAATTAATATATATTTATTAAATAATGTGTTTATTTAGTTCTAATGTCTACTTATTTTTTTTTAACTACTTATGTGAAGTTAATGTTACATTTAAAATGATAATATATTTATAATAAAATATTATAAAAAATAGAAGATAGAATAGGAAAGTAAGTAATAAATATTTTTGAAAATTAAAATTTTAATATTTTTTTAAATCTCGTATAAAATCTTAAACGACTATGAATAAAAAGCGGAAGGAATATTATTTTGAGAATGAAAGAAGTATTCTGAAGAAAATTCTAGGTATTTATCCCGATTGTTTGCTCTTAAATAATATAAAAATTACATAAACTCTCTAATGTCTAACATATCACTATCGGTTAAGGTTTTTTTTTTTTGGTAAAATCGGTTAAGATTTTCATTATACATGATGATTTTTTATTAATAAAAAAATATTAAAATAAAAAATTGAGGACTCATGTATTTATTTAGCTTTCAACCATTGATATTGATGATCTAAAAACAACTGTATCAATCTTATACTCAAGTATTATTGTAAAAGTTTATTTTTTAAAATAAAAAGCTTATATTGTCTTCAAAAAGAAAATATGAAACTACCGACTCTAACCAAGCTCTGACTCTGAGTATCGTAATACACCCCCTTGATTTATTTCTCTTTTATTGTTTTCGTTTCATATGTTTTTGTTTTGTTTTGTGAGTTTGAGTGTTGTGTTATCGCTTGACTTTTTCTCTATTTCGTTATTTTTTATTGCTCTCAATCTTGGTACTTATTTTCCCCTTTTCTCTTAATTTAGTTTTCTTTGTTACATAAAATTGATAATAGTTTTCTTAGTGTTTTTAATTGATTTCTGTTCTTACCGGAAATCTGCCGTAGAGGTGATTCGCCAGGTAAGATCGGTGAGCCTCCTTCACGGGTACGCTGGTGTTCCAAGATGGGGGTGGTACCTACAAAAGAGACTCTGATGCTCAAGTTAGTGTTTGTGTGAGTATTAGTCTCGTATAAGTAATGCACGTACCTAGATGTGAATTAGGGTTGCTTTGGGACTTGGGCCTGAGATGAGGTGTAATATGATTAGATAACGGACATCGTCCGAGGCGAGATCCTCGGGGATCAGTTATGATTCGCTTAAGTACCGAGCTGATGTCACGCGGTGCGTGTTCGAGGTCGACTTGCGTTATGGTGCCGAGCTCGGAGCTCGGTTACGCAGTACTGATAGTACACTAGCCCCCCGAGCTCCGAAGACCGGAGGTCGAGGAGTTAAGACCGAGCTCGTCAGGGAGCTGTGACATTTCGCGCATGCTTGCCTGTCAAGATGCCATGTGTTGCAACTGTCGCCTCGTTCTCGAGAACGTGCAGGCAGTGTGGTAACAAACTAATCTCCTCGTTACGTTTGAGACACCTCAAAGAGTGGGTAGAATACACTCTTAATTGTTGACCAAAATCTGTTCGAATTTTAAACTAATTGGTTGATGTTAAAATCTAGCTTTTAAAGAGGTTTAATTAATTTAAGTTGAAACTTTTTTTAAGTCATATTAATTATTTGATCATTTTTGTTTAATAATTTTATAAATTAAACTTTGAATGTATAATGATGGTAAAAGTTAAACAAGGCCCATAAATTAGGCAATAATTAGATTTTAATTAATTATAAACGCATAGTTTTTGTTGGTCTAATTATTAAATATTTTTAAAATTTGCTTTATATTTTTGGTTTTGAACTTAACTATTAAAAATACTTCAACAATATTTATCAATATCCACAGTTTTTAAACAAAAAAAAATTGAATTCAGATTTGGTCATAATAATTACAACTAGATTCGACTTGTTATAGTTTCAAAATTTTAAATCAAACTCTCTCAAACTGAAATCTCACCTAAATATAATTTTTATATATTTCATTTATGAGTTTGGGTCAATTTTAGGTCTTTACTCACCTCGTGTCAATACATTAACATTCTATTTTTTATATTCAAAAATTTAGGTGAGTTAGTGTTTTGGACATCAAAGACATAACAAATCTCAAGACTTTATGAGAATTTATAGAGGTGTTTATAGATTATCCATCAACATAATTTTCGCATTGATAAGAATTATATACACTTTTTTTTTAGATATGAGATCATTCCTTACTAACTGGACCAACATTTGTTGGCCATTAGTATCCTATCTATGACAAAGAAAATTGATTCTAAATTAAGGTAAGTTGATTTACTTTTTTTTTTTTTTGCAATTGTTTTTTTTTAATAAATATTATAGGTGTTGAGAAAAAAATTTAAAATTTCAATTTCAAATCTTTGATTGCTTCTTGTCTGTAGGTATCATGGGGAAGAATTTGTGGCACGAGCTCAAACATCGCTATAATGTCACAGAACTCGAGGTCCCCGAGCCTCAAGAGGAGGATGTTCCCCCTCTAAGGGTCAGCCGAAAGAGGAAAAGGGGAGCGAGGGAGGTCGAGGGGACCTCTGCCCCTGCAGACGCCGAGGAGGTGACCTCCACGGCCGCTGATGCGAGTGCGGTGGACCTTACTAAGAGTCCACCGTCGAAGGAGTCCCCTCGGGTGGCTTTTGAGGAGGTGGTTCGGGCTGCCAAGGTGGTGAGAACCCTGTTACTGTTGCTTTTTTAGTGTCGTTTATTGTATTTTTCTGTGTTCTGACCTAGGCCCGTCTTTCGCAGGCAGGAGATGCTGCCGAGGTGGCGACACAGGCTGCCGGGCGGGTCATCCAGGCTGCCGAGGTGGCGGTTCTGGTCACCGAGCAGGTTGTTCCTGCTGCTGAGGTAAGTAGTGTTCCTGACGTTCGTGGTTTTTCGTATGCCACCTTATTTTATCTTTTGACATGGGGGTGGTTTTCGCAGGCGAGGTCAGAGGTTCCTATTGCAGACCCTCCAGATACCGAGCAGGGGACGCCGGCTTCCGCCTCTGTTGAGGCTCGTGAAAGGGGTCCGAGCCGTGAGGTTCCCCCACCCACCGCTGCAGCTTCGGCGCCGCCGCCTGGTTCGTCACAGGGGGTTTCCCGGAGCCGATACCTAACCCATCGCTTCGGAAAGGGCCTTTCAAAAAGTGCGGCTGGACCACGTGAGCGCTTCGGCCGACATGGGCTCGCTGTGGAGCGCGGGGGTGACCGCCGAGAAGTTCTTCCCTCAGGGCGCGTTGAGCTCCGAGGACCAGGGGTTGATAGACGAGGTCGGCCCCGAGGATAGTTTCGACGTTGCCCAGGTCCTTCTACAGAGGGCTATGGGCATCCTGGGCCACTGGAAGCCTAGGTGGGCTAAGCAGCAGGAGGACCTGGCCAAGCAGCAAGAGGATCTGGCTAAGCTGAGGGGCCGACTTCAACCCTGGAAGGATGCAAATAAGATCCTGAGGGAGGAGAACAAAGCTCTCAGTGTTGCTGTTGGTGAGGCGAGGCGGCAGGAGGTGAAGCTTCGGTCTGCGCGGGGCGATCTTGCAAGGGTGCAGAAGTCTCTTGAGATCGCTTTACGATCCAACGAGGCTTATGCTTCCCAGGTGGGGGAGTTGCAAGAGCTCGTCGCCTTCTCTCGGAGCGCGGCTCGCTCTTTGGAGGATGAGGTGACGTCTTCTCGCAGCCAAGTGCGGGCTCTGGAGGACGTTGTGGCCTCTCTTAAGGGAGGGTTGGCGGCGGCGGCTGAGGAGCGCCTTCGTAGCGAGGTCATTCTTGGTGGCCGTGAGGACGAGATTGCCACCTTGAAGGCAAAGCTCGCGGAGCTGGCGGCGGGAAAGCAGCCATGGAGAAGAGGCTCGTGGAGGTCGAACGCTTCGTTGTGATGGAGCACAAGAGGGGCTTTCAAAAGGCTGCTCGTCAGGCACGTCTCCTGGCTCCCGGGTTCGACTTCTCCTCCTTGCATGTGGAAAAGGTCGTCCGCTTTGGGAGGCTGGTCAGGGAGGATGATGTCGATGACAGTTCGAGTGGAAATGCCTCAGCCTAGGCCGTTCGTGTTCTCTTTTTTGCTTTATGTTTTCCTTTTCTTGACTTGATGTATTAAACCTTGGAAACTTTGCTTCTATGGATATATGTGTTTTTCTTCATCTGCGACTTCGTCTGATTTTCGACACTTGCGTGCTTTGAGACATATGTTTGACCCATTGAGAGTTCGCACTCGTCGTTAGATTAATATGTTAGGTTTTGTATCCGATCATAGGTGAGGGTGTTGGGGTTCGAACTCGACCTCAACTTTGAGGGAAAACGATTGAGTTGCGCTTGTGCTCGATTTCCGTTGTGTATGCATTCTGATGTCTGTTTTCTGAAACTTTCATGAGGGTGCGGATTTGACCTTGATAGCGCGAGGTTCGGACTCGACTTTAGG